ATATATGCATATGTGTAGGTATATGTGGCGTGTGTGTATTTATATATAGGTGTATATATATGTTAAGAGAATGTAATTATAAATGAAAATATGAATGTATCATTTTTATCAGAGGAAATATCGTGGAGATATACAGGTAATTATGAGAAAACATCGTCAATGTCTACATAAAGGAGAACCAGATGGCACTTTCACATAGATAATCAACTATTGTTATGTCCCTCCTCAAGAGACTATCTTCTTAAATAGAAACTTTCCAATTATTGTGCATTTCAGCCTGTGCTTTTGGAGATATATCACTGATATCCCAGGCGAAGGTGGGATCCAACCTTGTTCTCGGAATTATTTCTCCATGAGGATGTGCTGTGTGTCTTCAGCTCTGAAACACGTAATTTGTAATAATGAAATTGACCTCTTAGAGCTGTTCTGCAGAAGAAAATCTATTAATTCTGAAACTGCATAGTGGGGATGGAAGCCCCATGTACTGTCCAATTTTTTCAGCTCTATCAGTTTGATAAACCAAGGGAGTCCTATGCCAGGATACTGTGCAGCCTGGAGGCTGCAGTAATATTTCTTGAACAATATTTCAGGGATAATATATCATGCTGCTGGTGAATAAGGAACCCAAGACCACCCTAACCTCTGGGGTGATCTACCATCATTTCTGCCTAGCTGAACCCTCTTGTTTCCTTTTCAAACAAATGGACCCACATGAGAGTCTCTGATCCAAAGTTACTGATGTCGTGATGACATAGGCATTTGTTTTTCTTCTTCTCACTGTAATGGAATTACTTTCCAGTTCTTAATGAAAGTTTAGGTGTAAGTGAAACCATATAGAATAAGACAAGTGTACAGGCTTAGGAAAAGCAGCTAGGATTACTGTTAGAAGTTAATTAAAGGAATGTTATTATTCTGAGTTGCTAAAGCTGCATCTAGAAAACCACATAGAAATAGACACCAAATGTTTTATTTTCTCTTTGTAAATTGTTTGTCTTAAAACACCGAATCTGGATTTTGATGTCATGATTCATGCCCTTGTGAATGTGGGTGGGTTTTCTGCATTGCTGCGTGTGAGCTGACAGTTCGGAACAAATTAGAAATTGTTGGTGAGGCAAAATCAAATGTTCCACTTAGCAAATGGTGTTTCAGAGAGGATATTGCTCTTTTGCTCTATTATTTGAAGCCAGCTAGGAGGTAGTTGGTAGGTGATGTTCGAAGAACTGTTTTGACAGATAAACTCTAGAATATTTATCGGTCCTGGGTGATAGAGAGTTCTGTGCTTTCCCCTTGAGTAAAGCATTTAAAGGAAAATGGTGCAATAAATTGCACTTGATAATTTGCAGACTTGATAATTTGAGGGACATGCTACAACTTGCCTGTTTTCCAGTTTTCTTCAGGGAGAAAAGAAAAGTGATGATGAATGGAGCAGAATTCAATCTGCATTTAGGAAGTGGTTTTATTTTCCAGAGATGTTTTTCCTAATGCGTCGCTCATCCTAATAACTGCTCTTTGCGCATTAATATTTTTAATGTACTTGACCATTCATGTGTTTCATGACCATTTTGGCCATTGTTATTTACACTGTTGCCCCTAATTTGCGCATCATGGTGGAGATGAGGAACTATTTTTACTGAGGAAAATGTGAGCCTAACTTTTTAAAAGGCTTATGTTGAAAATGATTGAGGAAAGTACATGCCACCTGGGAAACATGGCGCCTGCATCTGGCTGTTAGGATATAAGTGATTGCTATTAATCCATGTTAATGATATTTATATCTTCTGAATTCCGTCTTTGGGAAACAAAATACATTTTTTTGCATGACAGCAATAATTCCTTGATTCTTTCTACACAGTGTTTTTTTTTTTTTTTTGAAATGAGCATATCTGAACATGGTCTCTGTGCAAAGAGAATAAATAATATTTGTAATTTTGGAGAGGTGCAAACCCAGGTAAAACAACAATTTCTTTTATTTGTAATTGCTTTCCTACTGTTTTCCACAAATCCCATTTTTAAAGACTATTATTTGTAACTATATGCAGATATCACTAGAAGAAGAAAGTTGCTACCTTCTAAAGAGAAGTACTGAACAACTGCCAGTTACAGTGTGTCTTTGTCCCCTCCCTTTTTGTGGTTTAATCAGCTCTATTCCCAGAGTTAGGCTAAAATATTCCATATTGATGCTGTAGGATTTCAAAACTAGGAATGCTAGGAATTGCCTACAACTTCCTTCCTTCCTTCCTTCCTTCCTTCCTTCCTTCCTTCCTTCCTTCCTTCCTTCCTTCCTTCCTTCCTTCCTTCCTTCCATCTTTTCTTTCTTTTTCTTTTTTACTTCCATAACCAATGAAATCTCAGTCTTGCAATAACCTTCTTTCGGAATGGCATCGATATCTATTGCTTCAGAAACACTCTCTCCTACCTCCTGTTCATTATTGTGGCTCTTGAACAATACCTAATTGCCCGTTGAAAATATATTGCTTAAAAGTGCCCTCATCTTTCCTTGCTTTTGAACTTGCTTCTCCTTCTCTTACAATTCCTTTGCCATTTTAATGATTGTAATGAAAATGTTAATGTAATGTTTATTTTAAATTATTCTGGCTATAAAAAGATTCAGGAGTTATAATAACCATCTGTGAGAAATTCCTTGAAGTCTTTTTGACAAATTATGTGTTTTGCTTAAATATGCCATTACTGGTGAAAAAGTCACCACTGTTAGAACAAATACTCATAACTTAGATCTTGAATGATGTTTATTCAAGGTCATTACAATTTTTGCAGAATGAAGGCAAATTAATGGAGAGGTCAGCAATTACATTACAGTATGTACATACTAACCAAGTGGAAATGCTTACATGGGGAATTTCAGAGAACCTTTGAAACTAAAGGTGTTAAACCAGAACGGAGCTCTGAAACAGCAAACTTAGAATATGTTTTCATTCAGTCTTAATAAAATAAAAACAGTCTTAATAAAAAATAAACAGTGTGTCACATACATTATATATTATTCCCCTTAGTTAATTTCACATGAAAACATTACAATATGAGCCTAAATTTCAATATGGAGATTCCCCACTTTTCAGACTTAGCACTGTGCCTCAGCCCCAGACTGTTCAAATGCTCCCAACTGACTTATTCTCTCCTCCAACCTTGAACTGAACTTGGATCTGAATAAAACACCAGGAAATTACTTCCTTTGGGAGACAATGATGACTTGTATTCCCTGTCAGGTGAACAAGAAACCTGATTTTAGTGGTGGTGCGGTTTTTGTGTGTGTTTTTTTCAGTTCGGTGCCCACATACAAAATCTCACTGTGTATGTAATGGCAATACTGGAAAAAGTAGCATGCTCTTGAGTGAGCTTTCTTAGATGCTCTTTCTTAGATACTACTAATAGTGTGGGGAAAGATTGTTATTGTGCCATGTCACTCTACTCCTGCTGATATAGCAGCTCTGGTGCCTACCAGAATACTCAGACCTTCTTATCTTTTCTTCTGATTTCTCTGTTTACTACTAAAACATTACAGCACGGATGCTCATTGTTCTGGGACCCCAAACTCATAAGTAACTAAACACATTTCTTCCAGGGGTACTGAATGATTTATGTGGTATGCGAATTTTCTTTATGTAAAATTTCTGAAAAATGTAAACACACCTCACTTGGACATTTTGTAATTCAAACTTTGAGTTCAAAATTATGCTTCTGGATTTTTACTACTTTGAAATATTTTCCAAATATACAAGCACCAAAATAAAACACATTTTCAAATGTTTTTGGAGTCATATTGAGAAGTATCATCTTAACCTGAAACAATATTTATTTTTAACTTTTGAAACTGAAACTGAGCTGCAGATGCCTTTACTCATGCAGTGCTCCTGGCAAGTTTTTCATCCAAACTCATCTCTGCTTTGCTTCTTCAAGAAAATGTAACCTTTGTGTGCTACTAGCTGACCAGAGTCCTTCTCAAAAATACTGATCTACTGTAAGGATGGCGTGGCCAATGCTTTCAGACACAAGAACTGTAACCTAAAGCTTTTGTAATTACATTTCTAATAGGTTGTACTTAGAGTCTAATATACAGAACCCAAGCATCAGCAAAAAATCAAAACCATTTGTTCCTTCACTGACTTTCCTATATTCAAGTAGCAAATAAGACTCCATTTTTAAAGAACATGAAAACATTCTACCAAGTGTGCATGCGTAAATAATTAAAAGTCAAGAATGAAAAAAAAAGGGAGAGAAATATCAGAAAAAAAAGTCAGTTGTGGACTATTAAAACTAGCATAGGATAGCACACTTTTAGTAGTCAGATCTTTTAACAGGCATCCAAGAAGTTCAAGTATTTTGGCTGTGCATACAGCTTCAAATTCTCTTCCAATATCATGTAATATATGATTAGAAAATACTCAATAAAACTACTTACAGGAAACTGACTTGAATTGAAAGTATGATACCGTATTAGGAAACTTTAGATTGAGTAAAAACTTTTGGAAACTTTTACTCTTTCTTTTTTTTAACTCTGTGCAATTCCCTAGGAAAGGTTTACCTAAATTAGAGCAATAAGTATTAATGTGATAATGTAGGAAGCTTTTTTTTTTCCCCTCGTAGTCAGTGACATGAATGTTTAAACACAATACGTTGTTAAAGTTGAATGGAGAATTCAAGTTTAAACATATGAATCAATTTGTAAAGGTACCCTCTTGATCAGTAATGGGCTGCTCTAATTTTACTGGTGTCAAGTGTATTTATCCACAATAAAAGGACTGTTGATTACTGCAGGGTTTGTATGCAGGTCAGCGTTCAGCATCTGCTTTCCAGTGGTGGTTGTAATAAGAATGATTACAGTAGCTTCACTGCAGGGTGGAACATCATGATTGATGCTATATCAAGGAGAACATGGAATCTCCTAATGACTTTAATAGTGTCTATTTCTTTGTGGAATTTCTTTTCATTTTCTTAAAACAACGGGAACGTTACTGATTGTATAACCTTATCTCCTGTCTCAGGTCTCCTAGAAACCCTGAACAGAAGATCATTAAACGAGTGATTGCTCTTGAAGGAGACATTATCAAGTAAGTATTTTAAGCCTTAGTCTCTGAGTCTTTATAGGAATAGTGCAGCTTTTCAGTGGATTTTAAATCAGTATCCTAGACAACGAGAACTTTCTAGTATTTTCTTTCTATCTAGTCTTAACAGGGATGTCAGCAATGTACCTGTCTCCTTTTTTAATGAGAGGAGAAATGGTACACAAGACTACTTACTCTCTCATGAAAGAGACAAGGGTGAAAATAATGCTTGTTGCTTAGAATATCTCTGCCACATACTAGGGCAGTTAATTATAGAGCGTTTTTTTAAATAAATCAAGATTATAGGACTGTGTTTTTTCAGGTAGAGAGTCCAGTTGCTGTTTTATACAGTGATTGGCAAATAAAAGGTTGAATTTTGGTGTGGTTACTTGTTTCTTTCTTTTTTTTAACTATTTTTTTATTTTAGAGACAAAAAATGATCATAGATGACTGCCTTCATGGCAGACTCTAGGAATCTGTAGGGAATATTGGTGGAACTGACGTGGTGTAGATTATTCTGTCAGAAACATTTCTAGAAAGGGTAAACTCTAGAGTACTTAAGGGCTTGCAGTGCTCTGTTGCCTTACTATTTGGGAAGTTGTTTGGAAATGAATTGCTAGCAGATGTAAATCAGAAGTTTTCCTGGAAATGCTATCCTTTTGATGAAAATGATTTTTTTGGAAGGGATTTTTTTTCCTAGGTAAACATTGGAATTGGCATAGAGTTGGGAGTATAAATCCCTAGTTTCTCATATTAGATATGGATGTTTTGGGGAACTCTTAGGCATCATGCAGACTGAGGCTCAGTGCATTTAAATAATGGTTCCTGCTCTGGTGTAGTACTTGGCAGCTGAGATTCAAGGCAAGGATTCAAGTGTGGTCTCAATGAGCTCAATGAGTTATCATTGGCACTCATGAGTTATGATGGGCTGTTGGTCAGTATGGAATATGCCTATGTCCTTTTTTTCCCCTTTCCTCTTGCAATCAGTATCACTTCTCTTTTAATAAGAAATTTCAAATAATCTCAGTTTGAGAAACAAAAATAAATTCTGGCATTTCTGTTGTAGCAGAACAGAATCATTAAGGTTGGAAGGGACCTTTGGTGATCATCTAGTCCAAGACCCCTGCACACGCAGGGTCACCTAGAGCATGTGGCACAGGACTGCGTCCAAGCACGTTTTGCATATCTCCAGAGAAGGAGATTCCACATTTTCTCTTGGCAAATCTAAAATAACAGGCACTAAGAGGAGAACTCAACATCCAAAGACTAATATCTGCTATCACTTTAGAGAAAAAAATATAGAAATAGTGTGAGCTATTGGGTAAGGCCTTTTATAACCCTAATTCCTTAAGAAGTTGCTTATTTTCTAGATATAGGTGATGCTGATGCTGTAATTCTTGTAAGTAAGTGATGAGTGGCATTTGTAATTCACTATTCCTGATTCATTTCTGTAGCAATGTCAGAAAGAGATAGCAATACAAAGCCACTTCAAGTGTTACTTTTCATTGTTCTACATTATATATTATATCTATATTATCTATTATGACACACATCAGATTTTTAATACAATTTTTTTAATAACACTAAAGATGTTTAATAAATTGCAACTCTAGGAAATTAATTATATTGTATGGTTAAGTGCCTGAAGACTTTGAACTTTTCATTAACTTCTGTGGGTCTTTTTGGCCAACTTGGAAAAGCTCCTGGTGCATATTAACTATATGAGCATATGCAGAATACTGAAGAGCCTATAGGTTGGTATATTTCTTGTAGGTACAGAAGAATGTGTGATGGTCTTCAATTTGTCTCTGGTAAAACAGGTTAAGTTGATTCACTGTTAACAGTAGAAATGTGGAAATGTGAATAATTCAGATGTTCCTTGTTTTTTTCTCTTTGACCAAATGCAAATTGTCCCACAGTTTTTGTTTTGTCTATAGAAATTAGTTTGTTGATTAAAGAACATATTATAGAGCTTTTGAGTTTTTATTGCGTATTTTCTCTTAATGTAGAGAAATACGTAGAGAGTGTGAGCAATACTTGCTACTTCTCATAGCATTAGAATAAAGCAAAAATTAGATAATAAAGTAGTAAAATTGGATTTTTTTTCTAAATTATAAATTATTTTATACTTATATATTTCTAAACATTTTCTAAACATTGAATTATTCCTTATCAGCATAAAGCATAATACTGTGACTGAAACTGGAAGTCATATGAGATATTTTAAAAAGTATATTCAAAAGAGTTAGAATGGAGTTCTTTCATATTATCTGGATCTTTCATAGTGTGGGTGGGATGTGATGCAGAACTGATATCTTAGAGAAACATTGAAGCAACCTCGCTCCTAATATCAAGTCTTTCAAGCAGACTGTGTATTCTATATGCCTGTATTCTATAAATACACTTCTTTAAGCCTTTTGCTGCTCCACTGATCAATCAGAATTGCAGCTTGCTGAAAGACCTCTGGTGTCACTGCAGAGGTTATTGCTACCTCTTTTCTCTCATTGCAAGAACGGAGCTGAAGTGTTTGAGTTTGTGGTAGGCATGAGGGTAAGGGTCCTCTGCCTCTGACAGTCCTTATTCATCAAGAGAAATGAAAATGTACCAATACACTTACCATAACTGTGCATGTGCATTGTGCAAATGCCCATGCTGGAAACTTGGTAGTAGAGCTAAAAGTCAATGTTTCAGTTCCAGGGTATGGAAAAATGGGAATCATCAATTGGATCTGGTGGCTTATGGGGTAACTTGTGGGGATAACAACTTTGCAGAGAGCTGATTGTGCAGAGAGCTGTACTGTGTGGAGCACTTTATCTGGAAGGTCAGTGAAATGTGCAGTCTGTCAAGTACAACTGGAGCAGACTTCTGTTGTGATTAGTTTCAAATAATTGTGATTTGGAAGGTATTTTCATGTAGCAGTCCAATAGAGGGATGGTAGACATTGGGGTCTGCAGGTCTATGCTTTGATGAGCAAAGATATTCACCCTGCTTGGTGCATCAAGGAAAAATTGTCCCAAGAATAATGTGTTTTCTCATGTTAAGTAAAATGAATCAGTAAGCATTTTACTATTTGTAAAGTGCTTAATTTCAAAACTAATAATGACTAAATTAAGTTTTTGAAAATATATGCCAATGAGAGATCCAACAGATCCACTCTGACTCTTCATTTTATATTTTTTCTTGTAGAGATAAATTAGGGAGCACATAATACATCACATTCTGAAATATGCTTTTAGAGACTGAAAAATACTATAAACTCAATGAATAAAAAAGTCTGGCATTTCAGTTCTCAGATCTTGATTCCACCCTAATTGGAGTCCAAGTACAGTGAGTAAGGGTATGCAGGGAGGAAATCAGAAAGACAAAAGCTTGGATGGAATTTAATCTGGCCACCACTGTGAAGAAGACATTAACAAGATGTTAACAAGATGGAAGAGGGACAATTTCCATCCTTTATTGAATGCAATGGGGAATATTATCACAAAGCATGAGAGTAAGGGTGAGGTACTTAATGTCTTCTTTACCTCAGTCTTTAACACTCAGATCTATTATCCTCAAGATATCTGGCCCTCAGAGCTGGGAGACACCGATAGAGTGCAGAACAACCCCCCCATAATCCAGGAGGAAGCAGTCAGTGACCTCTTGGACACCCACAGGTCTGTGGGAACAGATGGGATCCACTTGAGCAGTGCCAAGTCTCTTGGTCTCCTTGCTGGTGTCACCACTGAGTCCTACCCAATAGGCCTGCCGTCCGCACGCAGAGCTCGGAGCTCCCATGTCATTGGCGGCCGTGGTCCCCTGAGCCCTGCTGCTCGGCGCTGGCCATCCGGAGGAAGGAGATATTGGCCCTCCGGAGCCGAGCTGGACGTTGGCTGTCACCATCTTGCCTCGTGGACATGCTGCGTGTCCTCTCATGTGACCCCGTGGGACCACGGCCATGAAGGAGCACGGAGGGGCTACTGTGATGGCGCGTGCGTGATCGCCGTCGCCTGTGCTGCCTCCTCAACAGCAGCCACGCTGGCAGTCTTCCTCGGGGCTGGGGCGTCCCAGAGTCCTGGTGCTGGCGGCCTTCAACGTGGTGCTCCTGCACCGTGTCTTTCCCTGGCACCCAGCAGAGGATCCTATCAAATGGCCGCCTGCAGAGCGGGCACTCTGCTTTGGTGGCCGACCACTGCCGGATGCAACCGAGGCAGAACTGGTGCAGGCAGGCGGGCAGGTAGGCGGGAGGTCTCGCTGTGCCCAGGCAGATGGGGCACATCTCCTCTCTGGAGGTGCTTGGCTGCATTGCCCCAGGCACCTGGCTCACAGCGGCTCCTG